CGGGGTGTAAAACAAAACTTGGGTTCATAGGTTAGGTCCATAGAAGAAAACTGCTAGGAACTGACATTAACCACAACTTATGCCCATACAACGTATGCACAATTATTTTCAAAAGTTGATCTCCACCCATTCAAAGAAGACGGCCACGCTTACGAAAAACTGTTCTAATATTTATGTATCTACTTGAAAAGTTGGGTATCTAAGATTCGTTGCAAAGATTCATTTAATTTTTTTGCTTTGTTTTTTTTTACATATATATGTTAGAGCATCATTATAATTTTAATTCAAGTTTATTTCTAATAATAATTACCTTTAAGAAGAGGTGGAGACATAAAAACAAGAACATACATGATCAAATACCATAGACTTAATTATGTGCCCCTACGTTGTCTTAATATTGATTGGGAAAGAAGAAGCTCGCGGTTAATTTGAGTACGATTGCGTATACTTAGTGAAGTAGATTTCCGTTTAACAATTCAGTTGACGTTCGGGTCACTTTGAAAACGGTTGTATTTGAATATTAAAGTTATATAATTGCAAATCAATAATTGTTATCATAATAATTTTGAAGTGAAAGGTGAGGTGAATTGGTGTATGGGAAAAGATATATATTTTTTTTGCTATTGAGTTTTTTTTTTTTTTTTTTTTTTTTTTTTTTTTTTTTTAAAATTTTAGTTAAAAAAAAATAAAAAAAATATGTTTAAATTTATTTAAAAATAAATTTTAAATAAATTTTTTTATGTGTGCTTGAATTGGCTTAAACGAGCTTAACAAAAATATACTAAACTGTTTACAACTGAAATGATTGGCAATGATAAAAGAAAATGTCGATAATCAAATATTTTATAATACGGGTCAGGTCTCTATTCATTTTGTCTGCTTGTCTAAAGGAGTATTTTACACAATACATATTAAATACGATACTGTACGAAACGATAACATTGAACAGAGTGTTCAAAAATTTTCTGCTCAATTATAGTCTGCATTGTGTCGAGACAAACACTTTAGAGATTTTAGAAAATTACATGCATTTTGGATCAATGGAAGATTTTGAGTTGGCTTTCGGTTTCCCGTCTTCAAAGAAAATTCTGAAAAACATAGTCATTAGAGGAACGTGGGTGGATCTTTATGGTGGGATTTCTCAAATTAAAATATCAAGAGATTTTTGTCAATGCATTGAGAAAAATTTTGGTATAAATGTTATATCATTACTAACGTAAACCATAAAATAATATCTGAACCAAAGATCGTAAAGCTCTTGTTTATCTATGTTCCCGCCATTAAAATTATATATCAACGTTGGTTTATCAATTTTCTACTTATAGGCCGATGTTTTTCATCGTCAATTATCTTTTCGTCTTTATTTTTTCGTCTTACATCTCTTTGATAATGAAACAAATCAGCCTATCGACGGGTTTAGTGTGATCACAGTAGCGAAAATAGCGGATATGTTCTGTTCATGCAAAACGTACTAAGGTGGTAGACTAGTTTTTTTTTTTTTTTGCTTAATAGATGCCTTAAACCTTCTGGAGTACGTCAAAAAAAAATTTCATTACACGTAAAAAATTGTTCGCTTGAAAATTTGGAGTTTTTCGTAACCAAGCCAAAAAGACCTACGAAATTTTAGTTTCATATCTTACCTGCTTACCTGCTTACCTACTGATTGTTAGTTCTTTTCTTTAGAAAGTATTTTTATTGATTTAAAATCTCTTGCGCACACAAATACGGTAATTGTGTGAAATTTTAATGACTGTGTGACTAGTATTCTGGAAATTAGTAAAGGTTTGGTGATGAATATTGATACCCTGCAGATAGATTGTAGGATGAAAATTACGAGAAAAGAAAAAAAGAAGGAATACTTTTATGTTACTACAATCGCACTACTACTAATAGAAAAAATTAATCAAAAGTTTGTTGTGATAATGAAACATACGTATAACACATGTCAAAACTTTAAACGTCTTTGCATCGAAAAACAGTTTTTAATTTCGGCAAGCAGCATAACTCAAACAATTTTAATTTCTTTAACTTACTGCTTTCAATAGTAATTATACCGTGAGAGTTTTCTATGATTGGTAGATTTAAATAAATTATATATCGGGATATATGGTTTATCAAGCGATTTATCTATCCTTAGTTGATATTTTTTCAAAAATCGTATCATTCGCAATCTGCTCCCTTCATCAACTTGTAACATCAGCAAATATTTGCAATGTTTTTTATAAAACATATATAACAGCTAACACATTACTCAGTGGACACACAGATATTGAACAACTATTGGTAGATTCACATCCTCTTTAGATAGCTTCAACCTTCAAAGCAAAACATATATTAAAATTTCATGACTTTCAGTCTATTAAGTAATGTTTTCGGCGCTACACAAGAAATTCCGCTTTTTTCATTGTCTCACTATAACCAAACTAGCGTGGATTCGTCAGTTGTGCCGGCATTTGTATGTCAACCTAAGAACTAATTGAGTAATGTGTTATATATGTGTGTCTGCATATACATGGCTTCTTTTCTTATTCTCTTGAGCAATTCTAACTCCATAAGAGCTAGTCGTTAAGCATTTTTACCATAGATCAATTCATTTTACATTTTTGCTAATTTCCTAATGATAAGTTAAAGTCAGTAGATCGGGATTATGTCAAGAAAAAATGAATTTCACTTCCATTCGTTGTTGTATGTTTGGTTGTTGTTTTTGCCATCTTTGAATTTTGAATAAATATTGAAGCGGAAGTTATTTGATTGTCCTTTAAAAATGTCTTTATATGATATAAACAAGCGTAGCATACTTTTCATTACCACAACCCACGAGAAAGGAAGACAAAAACTATTTCCGTTAATAACATTAAGCAAAGCGTTACGCAATTTTTTAGATTTGTTTCTTATTAAGAAATATATATATTTTTTTTGTTGTTGTTTCATTTTTACCTTAATTAGAGGAGTTAGCCAATCATAACAACAAAAAGAAAAAAAAAATCAGAAAAACTGAGAGATGAGACCATAACTTAATTCTAAGTCATATCTAATAATTAACGAGTTGTACACATGTGTGTATGTATGTATAAGCGAATTTTTCAGCTGACAAGGTTAATACAAATTAAATGAATTAACATTGCATGTTATGTATGAGTATAAACATTCATTCGGATTTATCTACCGGCGTATTATGTAAGCATTTTTCTTCTTTTTTTTTTTTTGCATTAATTTATGCTTTTTTAAAAATTTTTTGCTTAAAAACACATTAAAGAATCGTTATGTGCGTTATTTGTTTATTTGAAAAAATTAGAAAAAAGTACAAACATAGTCACTGATTAAATATGTATGTATATATGAATATACCGAACATGTCCGCAAAGTGTTTTTAGTTCGTTGACCAAGAGTCATAAAAATTAATATAAACAAATAATGCAAGAAACGAACAAAAAAAAAAAATTTTTTTTTTTTTTTTTTTTTTGTAAAATTTCCTTCAAAGCATTGACTTTGCATTTGTGTAATATGGATATGTCCACCTCATGGTATGTGTTTTCTATTGAACTAAGGCAAAAGGTCAAGTTAAAGAGAAGTAGAGAAGATATGCGTATAGTTATCATGTATGACGGGTAGATAATAAATTTTCTTAGTCTTACGACTTATAATTTTAAGTTGATATTTTAGATAAGATAAAATTAAGATTTCTGAAGGCCTCTTACGCCTCTTGGTCTGTTAGGGGCAATATAACTTAATTTTTATTTAATATTTAATAACATTCGTTTAAAGTTTTAGGACTTAAAGTTTAAAAGTGCGGAAAAATGTTTCGATATCCATCAAGGAAAGGAAAAGAAGTTTTTCTTAATTGTGCTCGATATTGGATCATTTTCTCGTTGAATTTGCAAAAAGCCTTGATATACCTTATAAAGGCAAGATTAAAAAATTAATTTAAAATCAAGTTTCCGGTGCTCCAGTTGGTATTGGACGCCTAATGTTATTTGCTGAAATAGATGGACAAACACGCCAGCCAAGCTAGTCACACTATTCAATAGTTTTTGGACGTTTCACACCGTTGCCACTTGCATTGTGTAGGTTGCTTACAAAGCCAATCGAAATTAAATTAATGTCTCTTGTGCTAGGATTCAAAGCCGGCTATGAGCCGACTTTTTAAATGCTTTTCTTGTCTATTAGTCCGTGAATTAGTACAGCTTTCTTACTCGCTATAGGCATAGGCATATAATAGATCATATCATATATCATATACCCTGTTATATCATATTTTCTATTAGCACTTATATTGTTTTAGGCGCGTGTGTCGTCTATCTGCATGTTTTCTTCCTTCGTTTGCCTACGTTATGATTACGATAAGAAGAGAGCTTAGCTTAAAAAAAAATATAAATTTTTTTGTAAAATTTTTTCTTATCAATGCCTGATCGATCCGTTTACAAAAGTACAAAACTATATAGTTTTACAACTTTTTCGTTTTTTTCTTTCGCTTCACGCTTAATAACATGTTCATGTGTGCACTGAATCGGGTTAAGGATACGCTCAAAAGCGAAATATGTAAATATAGCTTTTTAGCTCGTACCTAGAAAGTGATAAAAATATCCTCTAGAATATATACGACATATGATATGAGATCGAAATATTAAGATAATGAATCTTTGCTCTTTCTTGCATAAACAAAAAGTAAATATTTAAAGGAAAGCGTAAAGTTGAACGTAAATGGTTTTCTGAGATTAAGTTTCTCCATTATACTTACTCCTAGAGAGCATGTTGAGCATAACTAATTTATTATGAACTCAATGTTTAACTTATTTTCATCGACTTTTCGGCCATATATTCGTGTAAGCGATCGAAAAATGGCTTTCGCTATCACCTTAGCCTAAGTAATTGCGGGTATAACGTAGTCATACGCAAGTGATATATTTCTATTTATTCTTTCTAAAAATTAATACAATTGTAGATTATCTCTTTTTATCGCAGGTTTATTTGAAAGTTGGAAAGCTTTTCTTGCCCGAAAAATGTCTATCGAAAATGCTACAGAAACTGGTATATGGGATTTTCTATTTACAGAGTTAGCTGGTAAGTACAAATACGCCTGAAATTAAATATTAATTTTATATTGAATTTTTAACGATTCACAGATAAACGGACAAATGATTGGTTTTTAATAAAATCGCCGTTACCCCTATGCGCTATAATGCTGTGCTATTTATATTTTGTTTTATCATGGGGTCCAAGAATAATGCGTGACCGTAAACCTTTTAGATTGGAGAAAATCTTAATTGTCTATAATGCATTACAGGTGGCTGTAAGTGTATGGCTGGTCTATGAGGTGAGAAGAAGAAACATTAGGTTTCGTCTTTCATGCAGCAAAGTAATTCATTGCAATTTATTCCAGTATTGTGCGATATGGCGGCATTGCAATTGGCGTTGTCAACCCGTTGATTATTCTACAAGTTATAAATTTTATCGAGTATGCAATTGTACAGTTAGAACTGAGAAAATTTTTTTTTGTTGTTTACTTTTTTTTAAATCCTGTATCACACAGAATAAGTGAAGTTTCCGTCAATGTATGTGTATACAACAGAAGGAGCTAAGATTGGGGTAGTTTTAAGAATCGATTTAAGCTTGTCAGGCATCTGTTTGTCCGATAATTCTACATAGACTTCATGTTAAACTTGTTTGATGCAATTTTTTTTTTTGGTTTTAATATCAGCAATCACTCATGGGATGTCCCCTAAATATGCAAGGAAGTGTGGAAAGAGGAAGAGATATTTGGACGAGATTATGCGAACACTCACCCACATAGGCACACACTCTAACGTTACCTTATTAAAAAAGAGATAGATCGGACCACTTTTACGACCACCATCCCCTGCTGATCTTATTTGAAAAATACCGTTGCATGAAAAAAACGTACAATTTTGAAAATTTCTTAACAAAAATCGCCGAGTAACAATAGTTTGATCGGATAAGTCAAATTTTTCAATTGTGTCTCGTATGTACGTACATTTGTACGAAACGTAAGCCGTTGTATGGCAAGAAAGTCTAACTATCAATGGAATATGGTTCGTTATGATACTTTGGTATAAAAATTAGCTATAACAAATTTAGACCACAGTAGTCTATTCTTGAAAGTCCGCTCTACATAAGGACTCCAATGAAAAGTAAGCCTTTATATTATGCTAAACCTAACAACTGATTATTGATGAAAGCGACAAAGAACAATAAAGTTCTTGATAAGAAAATTAATTTTATTAAATTTCCAAAACGACAAGTTTTGTTTCGAGCATCCTAGATCTTTGACAAACAAAGTAGTTTTGTTAAATTTGGACCATGTTTCTTCACATTGTAAGCTAATCCAGATAAAAGAGCTCACATGAAAATGATTCTTTTACATGGAAAGAAGATACAATTTGTTGTATGGTGTTGTACGGAAATTAATGAAGAATTCTGTTAGGCGCTGTAGTCTAGGATATTGAATAATGGTGCATATCAAACTACAATTTTTTTTTTATTCTTTTTTTTAATTAAAAATTTTAGGAAGCCCGTGTTGGTTATGTTTATTTTTTGGCAAAGATAAGCGAACTACTGGATACCGTTTTCTTTGTGTTGCGTAAGAATGAACGACAAATTACTTTCTTACACGTTTATCATCATACCGTGATGCCTGTAATATCTTATGGAGCACTTAAATATTATCCTGGCGGTCATGGAATGTTCATTGGTTGGATCAATTCATTCGTTCATATTGTTATGTATTGTTATTATTTACTTTCATCGTTTGGACCTAAAATGCAAAAATATTTATGGTGGAAAAAATATATAACAAATCTACAAATGGTAAAGTTAATCAAAAAAAAAAAAAAAAAAAAAAAACAACAACAACAAAAAAAAACCGTTTTCTTTAATTTCTTTTTCTTACAGATACAATTTGGTATCGTTTTCTTACATCAGACTCAATTATTGTATAACGATTGTGATTTTCCGCGCTGGTCGGCCGCCTTCACTTTGCCCAATGCTGTATTCTTCTACTTTCTATTCAATAATTTCTATCAACAATCGTACAGTAACAGAAAGAATAAAAACGACAAATTGAAGACAGAAGAGCAACATTCATCGACCATAATGGATAAATACGAGAACAATAATGAAAAGTGCCAGCAAAATTCAAATGATACTGCAATTGTATTATATAATAAGAAAGTATCGTAGAAATTAAGCGATTGTTTCATATTTTTAAAGTCTAACCCATAATGTATACGCATGTTAATCCTCTTGGAACTAATTATACACATTTTTTATTGTTGAAATATTTTGCTGTATTTGTTTACTTCATTCACATTTTAGCACGAATTAATTCATTCGTGTCTTGAGTTGCCATTAAAGGTCTTTATTAATTACATTTATTGCTGAAAAAATTGTTATTTCCCTCCAGGCGCATTTTCTTGAAGAGAAAAGGAGAAAACAACAGACCTCGATGAGAATCTTTAAACCCTACTACCTTAAATCAAAATATAACCAAAAAAAAAAAAACATTATAATCGGGCAAGGCTGATCCCTGCACACACTACGCAAGCGATTCTTCCGCTTAAGCAATTCTTCCGCTTAAGCAATTCTTCCGCTTAAGCAATTCTTCCGCTTAAGCAATTCTTACTTTTTTTCGTAACAAAATAGCAAAAATTATACCTCCAAAAATTAACCAAAAATTATACCTCATTTCTTCTAATTAAAAGCGCGCTTTACCTTTATATGCCCAGGAGATTAAAACGGGAATCGTCGTGGTCTAAATTTTACATAATTAAATTCCTTATCAATGGTATTGTTATTGTTTAACTATTTTCGTCATATGTTATCAAAAATTAGGCAAATATATATATATGTATAGAGGAATGGGGTTCAAAAAATATACTTATATGATCTAAATGGAGCATAGTTCATTTTTATGTCAAGATAGCATTACGGACCAATTTTCATTGCAAAATTTATAAAGTAGACGTTTCTTGGGTACAAAGGTGGGGTGCAAAAAATGGACTGTCTCTGTGATCCAAAAACTGCCATATTTAATTGCTATATCAAGTTACAATTATAGATCGATTTTCTCCCAAGAAATGACTTTTGAAAGTTTAGAGGTTTCGAACAATAGTCTTATGTAATCCAAATTTTGAATATCAAACTACTACAATAATCAATGATTTTCTTTAAGAAATTTTGAAAATTGAAATTGATTTTTTTCCATATAAGGATTTTTCTAAAAGTGTAGGAGAGTGATCTTAAAAGTACAGATTTAATATTTCAAATATATGCTCGTTTTCGCATTATTAGTTGCTCTCACTTCTCGTCATCTGTTCTTTAGTAGCCCTTGTTTTTTGTAAAATATTTCAATTTCCAAGTCAAGTTTTTTAATTATTGATCGCTCTGATCGCTTTGAGCATTCTATTTTCTTATTCTTTTCCAAAGCATTCACCCTGTCCCACGCTTATGTAATAAGAACTTTGAAATAAATTTTGTGTCGCTATGCGTAATAGTGCAGATATGTGAACACTGCCAGTAGAGGCAGAGGAACAACCTTTGGAACTTCACAGAAGGGCAAGGTGTTGACGAAATTAGCGAATCCATTGTGAATGAATGAATATTAGAATGATTATTATTGCTTATCAGAGTAACTCATTACTAATTATATTTTATTTGTATAAAAACATTTTATTTTCTTTCACTTTGTGGTGTTCTGAGAGACATGAACAGTGTCAATAAAAAATGTACTATGAATTTCGCATTCATCGTACACATATATAAACTGATCGTCATTAAGTCGAAAAGAATAATTTGCTCGCTTTAATTACGAGACATTCGTTGGACTAAGCCATATACTTATATATTTATTAAGGCGAGCTTGTCTTTTTTTTGTAATTAGTTCTAATTATTCAGTCAGATTGATTCAAAGTAAAAGAATTTCATTTCAATTAAATTGTTTTTTACAATTTGTGCAAATTTTTGCTAATCATTCGAATAACAAAATAAAGCCACAAAAATGAAGCTATCGATTTTAAATTAGGTAAAAACATTGGCAGGTTGTTATTGAAAATGAGCCAAATCGGTTAAACGATATGCCCAGAGTATCACAGTAAAGTGAGAACATCTCTATTTTTGGCTTATTAGCGCGTAAATGTACAAGAATGTATATTCTATGGGCGTGGCTATAGTACCTGTGCACAAATGGCAAATGTTAATCACATCTACCCAGTGCTATAGTGTATCAAATTTTATTTTTTTTTTTTTTTTTCACTATCTCTATAGGGCGCAGTAATCAAATTCGAAAACACAAATTCGGAATGCACCTAAACATGTCCGCCAATACATTTGCTCATCTGATTGCCTGCGCGACTGTGCAGTATTTATGGCAAACGCCATTCCATTAGCGAAGATATAATTGATATCGCGCATAAATTTGCAAAAGAATTTAAAAGTGACCTAAACTATTCAAAGGACACGCCTGCGACAACGCTCACACGCCTATACGATAAAGAAATTTTCCTTTGAAAATGGAAAAAAATCAGTCGTGCTATAGAGCAGGAGAATTTAGGATAACAGTGATGCGTATAAAAGATTCGGTTACGATCGAATATAATTTTCTTAGTTGTTATAATGTGCTTGCCGCTAATTATCAAATGAGTATATATCGCGAATGTTCTTATGCTAATGAAGAAATTTTACAAAATTTTTAATGAGTTAATCAAACATTTAGTTACTATAGGAGGTTTGGCTAATTCAAGAACATACGAAATCATATAGTTTTTAAAGAATTTATCATATATACGCTCTATTTAGGCATAATAAGTACTCGACTGGCCTTTTTATGCAATAAAATATTTCCTTACTTTCGATATTAAAAGAAACCAGAAACCAATCAGGGATTAGTCAATATTTGCTTCTAATGATTTATTTATTACTTGTTTTGCATTAAAGTTAATTCAGTTTATTACTTTTTTCGGTAGAATCATCTTTTTTCGTATAAGCTTTACGATAGAAATTAGTAAAGAGTAAGAGAAAGACACTGGCATTTAATATTATACCCATCTTCATCGCTAAAGATACTCCGCATCCTTTCATAGCTATTATCGCCATATATAGTAGAACTAAGGCGAACTGACCCATTTGCATTTTTGTTATATATTTCTTCCACCATAAGTATCTTTGATATTGAGGACCCATCGCCGCCACTAGATAGTAGAAATACATTAAAATGTGAATCCCATTATTTAGTACATAGCCAAAGCCAAATTCTTCCGACACTGAAACAGTAAAGCATTTAATAAAAAAAAAAAAAAAAAAAAAAAAAAAAAACAGCTATCAAACTTTATGAAAGGATAATGAAAATCAAGATCACTTACAATCGGCATATTTTAATAGTGACCACGCTGACACCACCATAATGGTATGATGATAAACATGCAAAAAAGTAACTTGACTTTGTTTCTTACGTAATACAATAAATATCGTATCGAGCAAATCCAATATTTTATTAATCATATAATACCAAGCACATTCCGATAGATATAAGATTTCATCATTCGTGCGTTCCACTTTACAAGAACTACTAAATAAATTCCCAATAATATATACTTTTCTGTAAGTCTATCAACGATATAAAAAAAATAGTATTAATTGAAAAGTTGCCGTCATATGATTTTTAATTTTATACAAACATACAAGACTGACTATCATGAAGATATTAAAAAAGATTTGAATTATATTATAAACTTGCAATATTCGTCTAAGAGCAAATGCTTTACGATTTTCCATTAGCAGTGGACCAATAAACAAAATAAATGTCAGGTACGTAAATAATAAAATTGATATAGGTGCTGGCGAAGACATCAGCGGCCATTCATCCAATCTGCTATCTATACGCGATGACACAGAATTAATGATATTTATTTTTCATTTGAATTTTTCTCCTCCTTTACCTCTACTTTTATATATTATTGTTACAAGATTAGTTAAACTATTTTCCATTTTTTCCATCGATTTAAGTTTCCTTTTAACTTCGACAATATCTCGTTGAAATTAAATTTATTAAAATAAATGTTTCCTTATATATATATATATAATATTAAATTAAAAGTTGTTCACGAATTAGATGAAACGAATGCTTTTTGTTCTAACTTCAGCTCGTGAAATATTGTTAAAAGCGTAGAGTTTTTATTTTAATTCCCAAATTTTCATAGAATTTTTCACGGAAAATAATTGCGCTTTTATATGTGTTGATTAACTTCACACTTGTTGTTGTACATTCTTGTAGTCCTTTTTTAAAAAAATTTGCTTCTTTTTTTTCCCGGTAATTTTGAAATGTCTTTCAGTGAACCTTTTTAAGAGTACTGTACAACTACGTTTTCACGTTTACAAATTTATATTAAAAGAACTAATGAACCGTTCAAAATAAATTCAATGTAAAACCAAATTTTTCTTTTTTTTAATTTACTTACACATATTTGTAGAATTAATTTGTGTAATTAAATTTTTATGAAAAGTACAGGTAAACACCATGTCAAACGAAGAGACAAAACAATCGAACATTTCTATGATTACATTGTAATGGAGAAAGTGTTTATTCTTTTTATGCGGACTTTTTAAAAGGTCTCGCTCAATATCTTATACACATTTTACATTCATTAGCAAATGTTTTTCGCGAAAAGGCAGAATTATGCACTGCGATAAGCCAAGCGGATACGATAAGTGAGATTAATGGCTGAAAAATGATTTTTAGTTCAAAATTTCTATTATACCAGTGCAACTTTTTCTGGGCAATTTTTGTCGCATCATTTAATTTATTCGGAAAAGGACGTGAAAGGACCATTTCCGTTCATTTCAATGAAAAATTTGTCTAATCATTGATTGATTTTTTCTTTTTTTTTCATCCTTTCAGAAATGCTCTTCATTCATATTTCTGAGCCATGGTAGTATCGTTCTCAAATCTTTATCTGACCCTAACTCATATTATTTGCATCATCTATATGAAGAAAATTTCGTCTTCTAATGAGATTCTGTTGCAGCTAACCTTTTAAGTCATTGTTTTTGATGGACAAGAGAACTTCTTCTTGCATAAAATCCAATAAACTCTTAAAGCTTAAAATGATGGGCATATGCAAAAGGATTAAATATGAAATAAGAAAAAAAGATATCATTATATAGTATAAAAATTTCAAAACGTACGTCAAAGTTAAAACAAAAATAAATTTAATTCAAATAATAAAAAATTTATTAGAAATTATTTTTGTATGATCCGACTGAGCGGCCGAGTAGGCAAGAGTCTCGACTAGCAACTCAAACGTGGTTGTGGGTTCAAATCTCAAGTGCGGTAGAGTTTTTTAATAAATCCGAAAGCCTTAGATGCTAACGCTTTAAGACTTTAGTCTTAGAATTTATTCTCTGACTAAATTTATAACAATAATAATATTTCTATATGCATTATTTGAACCAAAGAAATAAAGTCTACAACTAAGATAGGATGAGCACTAGCAACTAACACTATTGGCCGTATATATTATTATATTATTGTTGTAGAAGGACTAGATGATTAGTGAAGTCATCTTAATAAAGTTGAACATTACTACGATAATATATGTATTTCAGGTACGTTCGAGATGTTCGTAGGGTTAGATGATCTGAACACGAATTTCGGAAAAGTTTCCGTGTTCATAGTTTTTATGTTTAATGGCAACATTTTGTCAATTATAATTTCTATAACTTTCCATCAAATACATTTCTGCTACGACTTAGGTCAATTATTTCAAAAATGTCCCTTTGGGAACTCTAAGGTTGTAAGGCTAAAAATTGTTTTAATTAACTTAAAAAAATAAGCATACTTTAGATCAGGATTATTCGTCTAAGTCCACATGATCCTTATGCTATTTCATAATAAAACTAAGTTAAGTTTTACTTTTGCAAAAGAAGACTTACACCATTTTCATTTGCGATTCAAGTTTGCGATTATGATTTACTTAGGAACCCTAAATTTAGCTTGAATTTAAAAAAAAAGGAAGCTTTAAAGGTCGAATGGAATAAATAAATAAATAAATCAGATACCTTTACATACGCTTACGTAAATTTAAAGAAGAAATCAAAGTTTATTTAACTATGCCTACAAACTACAAAGTTTATTATCAACCTTGAAATATGTTTAGAAATTTTATTAAAGAAATTTTGCACAGATAACAGCGAATCTTCGGTTCTTGATTTGCTGAATAAGAGCAGAAGAACAAGAAGAAATTTTATCAAACGAATTTTTCTTTTACTTTATTTAGTATGAACAGTGTGTTAATGAATTAATTTTAAGTATAGATGAAATACTTGATATGCCTTGATATTCATGGTAACGTAAAGTTTTTTTCAAAACAAGCAAGATAAAGAGTAGAGGGAAAAATGCTCATTCTAGCCTTTTTTTTGTTTAACTTACAGACTTCGATTTGAGAGGAATAGTTAAGATGAAAATCATGATCACACATTTACAACATTGTTGTTATGGGAGAGGAATTGTATTCTTTCCCCACCTTAAAATTTTGCAAATTTTTAAGCGACCATTGTTTCCAAAACTGTTATAATAGGTTTTAATTGGTTTCCTTTTGTGAGAGAGAGAGAGAGAGTTTTATTCTGCTTTAAAAGCCACCATCATGCTGTGCACTGTACGAGCAATGTCTCAATGAAAACTTTTATATGCAGCTTCGGCAATTCCTTGCGTTTCCTCTTGACCATTAATTTTGATATCTTCCTTAAGCTTTCATTTGGATTTTTGTGTACGTAGTGGGGGAACCCAATTTGTTGTAAATAATATCTAACACAATATTTACTTTAGTTACAGCCCCACACGATTAGTTGTGGGGAACCCTTCGTTTGATCATAAAATTTCTCAAAAAAAAAAATTTGTATTTCCTTTTATTTATCCATTTATTTGTTTATAGTTGAGCAAAGTCGACTTCACCTGTTTTTATCATAAAATATTGAAAAATATAAATTTCCGTCATGTGAAGGCTAACTTTAGGTGGCAAGCGATTCGGAAAGGAAACTCACGTAATAAATTTACATTTCAAATCGACATTTTTTGTTCCGATTTTCAATATAAAATAGCGCAGATGTGAGTGCTGAAACAGTCATTTGTGGAATTCTATCAACAAGCATTGATGAAATCGAATCAATTATTGAACGGAAGAGGAAGCGGATTTTTCAAAATGATGACATTGGATTTTGTATCGTAAAATCTGCTTCTTAGTAGCATTGAACGATAATTTGCTAACATCAGCCCTGTATTCACTTGTTTTACCTGACAATTCATTGACAACACCTGTGGATCCCTTCTGACGGACGGACTGACTGACTGATTGACTATCCCTTCGCCATGACATTCATATTTAGAAAGGTGGGGAAATTCTTGACGATAATAATTTGAATAAAATATTCCAAGTATTCTCTTCAAATAAGGGCTTTTTTTCTTAAAAAAAATTATTCTGCTCATTAAGCAGACATTATTGTATAAAGTGTATAAAATTGCGCATGTTTTCAGCATAATTTTACTGCATGTAAGTGATTTTATTAAAATAATTTGTTAGTATTAGTAGTTACATTCGATGGACTCAAACAGCGGTCACATACATATTCATAAGGGTGAGTTAGTAATGATTTCTTGTAAATTGCTTTATACGTCAACCAACATGTGCCAAAGCGCGAAAAATAAAAAAAAAAACAAACAAAATTTCATTGCAATTAAAAGCTTAAAATATTTAATTGAAGTTTTTTCATATCGCAATATTATAAGCGACAGCATATATCGGTTGTCTCGCTAAACAACCAAATTAAAAAATAAAAAACACATCCTTTGTACAATCGTTTTAATACAGTTGCACTTAATCGTTGTTATTAAGAAAAATTTATTAGTTATCGATTATTGATTATCTATACTACTTGTGTACTATATATATATATATATATATATATAATATGAACATATTTCCTTTTGCATCCTCTGCTACTAATCACATCTTTTAAACGTTCCATTTGAGCTGCTTCTAAGTATAGTATCATTCAAGCATTTTATATAAGTTTTACGATAAAAATCGATGAAAAGCCATAAAAAGATGGAGGCATTTGAAACCACATATAGCGTTATCGCGGTGGATAATTGACACCCGACAATAGCTTTTCCAGCCATATATAATAAGATTAATAAAAATTGACCTAATTGTATGCTTGTCATATATTTTTTCCACCATAAGAATTTTTGATATTGAGGACCCATGGCAGCGACTAGATAATAGAAATACATCATAACGTGGACCGAACAATTGAGTATATAACATAAACCAAACTCTTCTCTTCTGACTGAAAAAAAAAAAAACAAGAAAAAAGAAAAATATTTTTATATAAATAGTTAAAAAAAAAAAAAAAAAAAAAAATTATTTTTACTTACTATCCATATATTTAAGTACTATCCATGATCCTAGCACCATAAAGGTATGATGATATACATGTAAGAAAGTGATTTGATTTTGCTTCTTACGTAATATGAAAAATATTGTATCTAATAAATCAATTATTTTGCATACAATATATATCCAGCCAGAATCCGCTAATTGTAGCATATCATCATCGTTACGTTTTATTTCACATTGATCAAGGAATAAACTTTGTATGGGATATGATTGCTTGAGAGCCTAAGAGCAAGCGTAAGTCAGTGAGACAAAAAGATACATAATTCATGTCCATTATATACCTTAATGACCATCATTAAATTGTAAAAGATTTGTATGATATTGTATACTTGCAACGTTCGTCGAAGATTAAATGCTTTACGTGTTTTCATTAACGCCGGACCGATAAACAAAACAATCATGAGATATACGATTAATAATAATAATAGGGGCCCGGGCGAAGACATGAACAGCCAATCATCTATTCTGCTATCTAAAGTTGCGAAAGAATTATTACCTTTATGTGCAAAATTCTATAAGAGAGAGAGAGAGAGAGAGAGAGAGAGAGAGACAGACAGACAGACAGATTTCTCTACTTTTTCTTTACCTCTGCTTTTATTTAATAGCGTTGTCAAGTCACGCAGATTGTTCCGCATTTTGCATGGACTTTAATTCCGCTGTATATGTTGATGAAAAATTCTTCGAAATTTTTTAATGAAATTATCAGTTGATGAAAAATTATTTGAATATTGGGAGTTTAAAAAATTTGCAAATTTTATCCAAATTTTTCGCATTAATTTAATATGATGAACTACGATTGTATGTTTGTTTCATTTAACAACTTTCTTTAAAGTTCGTAAAAGGGGTTCGATCCAATCCACTTTCATATGCATTCGTCTCGATTTCTTAAAGATTGCGATTTGATGATTATGAAATCACAAAGATACATGGGCAGCCATCAGACAAGCAAACCGATAAACGGACAGATGGCCAAACAAGTTTCAGAAAGTAACAAAAGACGTAATCAGAAATAACTCCGTCTCAAGTCTTTTCACATGTTACATACATATATTCGTCTAAAATTTAATATACGAATGATCTAAAATAGTGAAGTCATCCAAGTGAAGTTTCCATAATTTGCACACAAAAACGCTTCATTTTTATATGAAGCGAATATCAAAATTTACTACGAAGTAAATAAGAGAAATATGCCTCAAGGTAAGTAAAATATTTTTGATTCTTTTTTGGGATTTTCTATGTCAATTGCAGCAAATATCTTTAGTTAAACCATTTTTGGTAAGACATCTTTAAATTTCAACTTTTCGTCATTCAAGTATAAGACGTTTTGTGTTCAGTTATATTCGATGCAATAAATACTTTTTGTTTAATATAATTTGTTCGCATGAGTAGATGAATAGGCAACGGATTGCGACTAACAATTCAATGGTCGCGGGTTCAACTCTCAAGAGCGTTTACGAAATTTATAGACAAATAAATAAATAAATATACATTTTGGACTTTTCCCATTTTCCACATTTTCCTTTTCACGTTCAAATGATTAGTTTTCAGTTCAGTTTTTTCTGTGTTAAGAGCGTATAGACAAGGCATAGAGCGTATCCACTTCTAAATGCAAGGATTATCGGATATTAATGATGTATTTCAAATGTTAATTATATTTTATCCTTTTATTTTTTTCATTACAATTATGAAATATGTTTCAATATTCAATAATATTGAAGAAGTGCATGCCAAGCCATTTATGCATTTCTGTCATAAAGCTACTTGTACTTTGATATCTTGATTTACATTTGAACATACGAACGCATATATATGTGTATCTACACACATATGCCCATGAAAAAACAAACTTTGATCAGGTATTTTCCAAATTGGAAAACTTCATGGCCGACATAAAACAGGGAGTAAAGCAAAATGTTGTTGCTTTGCTATGTTAAATAGAAAAAAATTTTCCTTAATCTCTTTTGAAAACAAAAAAAGGCCGCACAAAAGCTCTCTTATTAATGGCTAAGCACACATATATATAGAAATCGAGGACGAAACTTTCGATCTTTACTACGATCCTTCAACGCCTCTTTTGCTTTCCTTTTTTTGTGTAATAATAATAAAATCGGCAGAATTTTTTTCGGAAAAAACATACATAAGCACGATATAACTTTTGTAGAATACAAAATTTTTTCGTCAAAGCACTTTTAACTCAATGTTTTTAATTCATGTTTTAAACACTAAACATCACAAGATTTCTTTCGTATTTTTCCGCTTGGAAATCCCTGCCTAACTATCCTAAGTCAAATTTCACGTTTAAAGAGATGGAAAAAATTTTACTACTGCCTTCCAAGAGTGACGAGTGCCGCGAGGTGAAAATATAAATCTTAAGCTGTAGGTACGAAAGCAAAGTGCGATCCATCGATCAATAATTTCTCATCATAGGAATGTGTGCGTATTCCGAGATAATATAAAATCAAGGATCAAAAATTTAATTAATACATCATCCAACTGCCCTTGTAAGATGCTAGGAAGGAGGCTTATTATAGCAAAAAAAAAAAAAAAATAGTTTAGCATCCACTAAAAGCATAAATGCTGCTTAAATTCTATACTGCAAGCTTTACTATCGCAATTGAAGCGTTTAGAGAATTTGAAAATAACAAAATTTCATTTGAAGACGTTTTAATGGCATTTCCATTACAATGACAATGAACCTGCTTGTCAAGCTGTTTCAACATTAGAAAATATATGATTTACTGAAGCGATCAATCATCGAAATTAACTGACTTAGATGCTTTAGTTGTCAGTTAATCTCTTACATTTGAATTTGTTAGTTGTAACGGGAAAAGTTTATCTTGCAAATATTTTCAGGAATTTATTTCATGTATGAAAGGCAGAGATTGACAAAGTGTATCGAGTGATTCCACATAAGGCGAACAAAATAAGACAATCATTTATTGTCTGTCAGACCAAATAGTTTTTTTGATTTATGCCTCGTCTTTTTTTCACTTTTTTGTTGTGTTGTATTTTTTTTATTAATTTTTTTTTTTTATTATTATTATTATTATTTTTATTATTTATTTATTTATTATTAATAATACAGAAAATATGTTCTTTGTTTTGATTTTTAAATATTTTTATCCTATTTTGTAAAATATAGAGATGTGAGAGGAGAAGCTTTTTTTACTTCTACTCAAAGCAACACTAAAACTACAACTGATATTACTAAGCAACTATAATTACTTCTCTTACCCACTAATAGGCAGATTTTTGTTTTGTATTCGGTATTTTTTTTGTTTTTTCTTTGCTTAGATTTTCAACAAAAAAAAAAAAAAAAAAAAAAAAAATGTTCTAACTGAAGTTGTATAAAAGAGTAAACAAAATTTATAGAAATGTAACTATTTAGATAGAAGTGCTATACACTTATCGTAATTAGACTTAAGCTTAAACACAATAAGAAAAACAACTAAAAAAAATAAAAAAAATTAAAAAAAATCGAAAAGAAATATACATTAAAATGGGCAACAACAATGTTGCGATCAATAGATCAATAATTGCCAAATGAAGTCGAATACAAAGAAACTTGAAATTGTCTCAAGAATAGTTTTTTTTTTTTTTGCTCATAATTTTTTATGAATCGCTTTATTCAAGCTTCATTTCATTAATTTTGAAACAATTATTATTGTTATTGGCATCAATTAAACGTTTCATTTGATCGCCTTGATCTAGAAATGATTTAGTTGGTACACAACCTAAACCACTTGCTGCTCTTAATGCTGCTTTAGTCGCTTTATGATGAGCCTTGCTATCGCGATATGTTTTCCTATAAAAATTACCGAATAGATATAAAAACACTAATGTGTTGGCAATAAAGAAGAACGTAAGCGTTTTTGGCATATTGCAACCTTTTAGGGCAATGGTTACCATATAGATCATAATTAAAACGAATTGTATTAATTGTATGCTGGTCATGTACTTTTTCCACCATAAAAATTTTTGATATTGTGGACCCATTGCTGCTACTAAATAATAAAAATACATAATAATATGTACGCCGGAATTAAGTATGCCAATAACCACGCCCTGTTCTCCTAAAAAGATAAAAAATTATTATTAATAGGATCATATCCATATCGGACGTTCAATAACTTACCGGGCGCATATTTAAGATACATCCATGAAAATGTCGCAGTAACCGTATGATGATAGACATGTAAAAATGATACTTGACTTTGCTTTTTACGCAACACGAAAAATGTTGTATCGAGTAAATCAATGATTTTCGAGAAGAAATAGAACCATGCACCCGAATACAAATCTAAACTTTGCTCACGCGTTCGTAAAATTTCGCATTTCTTCGATAATAATGTATCCGTTATGCGACTCTCTTTCCAAGACTTGTCAAATTGATCATAAAAATTGAATATGAAAAAACATTTATTGTATTTTAAATAATTTATGAAATAATTCATTAATATTTCAATTTACCCGACGACACATCCATATTGAGTAACAAACTTGAAATGCATTATAAACAATCATCACGGTTTTCAAATTATACGGTTTACGATTTTTCATAAAAGCTGGACCGATTTTTAAAACAAATAATAAATAAATCATTACTATGGTTAGCACAGGTCCAGGTGAGCTCATCAGAAACCAGCTGTCGATAGTTTCATCTAACATAAATATGTAGTTTGTAGTTAAAATTTATTTCGTTTTCTTTTTTATAAGTTTATAAGCATAACTTACCCACACCTTTGGATAAAGTCAAGTAACGTTCATTGAAAACTTTCATATAACCCGTCATCTTCTTTCGATTTTATTTATTCCTTTTTTTTTTTCTTTTTATTTAACTAGAATTATCATAAAAACATTGTTACATAGCATTTGATATATATATATATATATATATAATAATTATATCCATCACCAGAAAAATGTATTAATTGTTTGATTTATTTAATGTTAACAATGTACACAGATGCGTATCACAAAGTTTAATAACTACTAGCAGTAACTAAAGGTTACAATGAAAAGTAAAGTTAATATCCGTTTGTGTGTTTATTTGAAATTGCGATTAAAATTTTCAGAAAACCCCTTTAATAATTGCATCTTTTGCATTACGTGCCACAAATTTTTTATCATTGATTAACAATGCGAAGAAACTAAACTCGACTTAACCTCAAATATTTTTTTACAATCGCAATTTCATAGTTTATCTTCAACATTTATTATTTCGGTTTTGTCAGCAACGATGCGAAAAAATACTCTCGGAATTCATTGAGCGCAGAGTCAATAAATTGAAGTTAACGAACTCGCACGACAGACGTACTCGTTTCTTCCAGTTTATTTGCTAGTTATACTTCGCAGTAAGATGTAACCCATCACTCAGTATATCTTCGTTTATATTATGGCGACTCTTGACTGCCGAGAAAACACATTTTTTTTAGAAGGTTTGCTAATTTCAAGCAATGTCATGCGGACAGTGATGAGGCTGACGTATTAATAGATAAAATAATATAAAAAAAAAAAATCTGCACCAAGTCGTACAGGGTCCGAACAGGAAAGTTGCATAAGTTAACTCACACCCTGAAGATGTCGAAAGAAAAGTCTATTCGGAGTGCGTGTCGCGTTTGCTTACTTTTGATTAAGAACAACGTCTTGGAGTCGTTCGGAAAAGGTAAAAAGCAAATGGACAGGAACGGAGCAGAGAGATCATCACTACACCCCAGAGTTCGAGTAGTTGAGCGGGCAGGAACCGGTGAAAGTGACCGAAAAGTCTAAAGTCGACTGCGAACATTGTGGCGTTCTTTTCCGCTTAGTATACTAAACGGCAGACAAATTTTCCTTGCGTGAAAAGTGAATACATCTACCATCGCCCTATGAAGAAGAAGCTTAACACTTTTTTTTTTTTTTTGAAGAAATAGAATAAACAGCAAACGCGTTCCGTTTTAACAGGCGAAGAATCGCCTCGGTCATTAACCTTTGTATGATAAGTTATACGATGTAATATAATCGCAGAACTTGAAATTTATTTCATTTCAAAGCCAACTGATTATGGAAGAAGTTATTCTAAATAGAATACTTCACGCTTCATATACAGGAGATATGTTAGATTTGTCGAGTGCTTTTAACGCTTAACAATACTCATTGAAGTCGCCGTACAATATTTATTGTATTCAATCATGTCACTTTACACATATGTGTACAGGTGTACCTGGCCACATGTTAAAATGTTGTCTAGAAGAATAAATTTTGTCGTCACTTGTTTTTCTTTTTCCACTCGCACCACTCTATGTTATGTTTGCAAAACAATCAAAAATCAATTTATGGGTATTCCCCCAAAATTACCAAACAATTGATCATTTTTCGCTTAAACTATTTATTTATTTCTTATAGCACGTATACAACACAGCATAAATTTTATTTTATAAATAACGCCATACTTACCTACTACGAAATCTGATAACAAATTCATTAGCATAAATTAAAAATATGATACGCATGTAAGATTACAATTTCAAGAATGTATCAATAATAAAAATGAGATAAAAAAGAAGAAGAAGAAGAAGAAGTTAGCTCAAACATTTGATTTAATCTCAGCTAAGTTGTAAGTCTGGAAAATCAACTAAATTGCATCAAGGGTTCGTCTTGTATATATGTACATATATATATATATATATATATATATATATATTAGTATATATATATATAAGTAAACCGGGGTATGTTAAATCATATCTGTGTGTGTGTGTCACGTTAATATTAAAACATAGTTTGAAAGATACGATAGCAATATGTTTGCCGCAGGATTAAGTATTTCTGACGTCATATTAGATTTTAAAAAATAAATATTGTCCGGTCATAATCGAGACGAGTGGGTGGAATGGTGAATCATTTGATGATTCTTTAATGCGGTTTATCAGTAGAAAGTCTGGCTCAAGAGAATGTTTATAGTTTTCTTTGGACTTTTCTGATCTCAACAAGGCACATTAACTGGTAGGAAAAGAAATCTTCATAGGACGATTAACACATTAATGGCATTAATGTAAGGAAATTTGTAGCAGTTACAGAAGAAGAAAAGATTTTGATTCCAAAGGCATTAATAGAAGCTGATACTTCCCATAGCTGCTATAGATAGCGAAATTAAACTTTTCACCTATCTTCCAAAATGACTTTAGTCGCTTGCCGTCTTTTTTTAAACCTATCATATCGGAAACTAGCTTGATTGTTTAGGCAAAGAGCCAAAAATCTGCATAGCAACTTCTGCATGCTTGAAAAGGTGAACAAGCGAAGAGACCAAAGAACGTAATGGTGGGCATAGCTGCAAGATCTCAAGCTAATAAAATTAGCATCTTTCTTAGCATCCTTAACCTTAACCCCAATATAATTGCGATCCAATGTTTAAAATCTCATATCTCTCAGATACCTACGCATGGTATTTTTTTTTTTTTAAATCCTTAAATGCATTTCATTTTATTTTTAATTTTTTTTAATTACATATTTTTTTTAAAAACATAATTTGAAAATTAATTGAAGCTTGAATGTAGGCAATTGGCAATAACATCATGCATTTAAGGGTTAAATTACAAAAATTTTTCATGTCTCAAAATTTGAATTGAGCTTTAAGTTGTCAATGGGAAAATTTTTCATGTATTTAAACAATAAAACATTACGTATATTATGGAACTATATACAGTAAATAATACAAAATGTTTTTCGTGTTAATGCCTTAATTGATTCAAAAACGAACACATACAATACATTCACATATATATATCGCAATTTTTCACACAGTTTTCTTAAATTAAGTGTAGAAGAGTTCAATGACAAAAGAATAAATTTTTTTTTTTTTTTTTTTGTTTATTTTGGTTAAAGTCAAAACCACGGTATTAATGAAACGTGAAGAATTCTTTATGCACCTGACATTCATTAAATGCATTGTACGTACATTGGCGTGTTTGCGCAAGCAGACGTTTAACGTTACAAAAGAACTCTTTACGTAGAACGCAAATGTAGACATCATCAACATCAAAACATTATACATTCAGTCATTTGTTTGTGATTCATGTTAATTTTATCAAGCCATTGGTAATATACATTAAAATATAAAACACTTTGCATCCTATAAATTTTGTAAGAAGAAGAATTCTTAGCCACACTTTTCGGCGAATGGATTGTACGCTTGTGCGTTTGCTTGTCTGTCGTTTGTATGCGTTTGTTATTTTTATTCGCCTAAACAAAAATATTAAAACTTCCTTTGGCCCAAGTATAAAGTGGAAAACTCGCATGGAAACCAGCGCATCTTCAACCTGCTATAGCTAACTAATGATAAAATTAAAAATATCGATAAAGTTAAACAACTTTTGCTGAAAATTTATGTACGACATTGTTGAAGACCATTATAGACCACAACCATTCCGTTTGTACTGTTGACTTGATGTACACTATATAAAAACCCGATAAACGATATTTAATCGATTCAACGAGTAATGCCGGCCCAATTCTATATTCCGTTACACACCGACTGTTGAAATTTTGAAAGTCAGAGAAGACACAAAAAAAGAAAGAAGAAAACGAAGCCATTACTGAAACGTTCGAGCCTTGCTTTTTTCTCTTTTTTTGTGCCGTATTTCTTATATGCAACACAATTTAACTATTTTTTTGACTTCGATAAATAACACATCAACCCTTACTATTGTTAAATCTTTATATATATATATTATTTATATCCATTTGTATTTATGTATAAGAGCTTGATTTTCCTGCCAGTTTTCTTATTGTGAAAATGCGTTTGTTTTATTTAATTTATTTAGTATTTTAAGAAACCTGTATTTATACGCGATTGTATTAGAAATCAAGCTTTAAGATAGAAGTCAAGGTAGTCATCTCTTCGCTAAAGTTGCTTTAAAAATCTTAAATGAATTTTTCGTATAGATTTTGAACATGTTTATCTAGCATAGCCGCACGACAAGAACTCAAGCAAACAAAAGTGTACTAATAACAAGCAAATGGAAAAACAATTCCACAAAACATTGCAATTAATTCGCAAAATGCAGCAAATATATATATATATATATATATGTATACAAAACATATGCTGTTAAACACTATGATGACTTTAAACAATTTCGTGTTAACTAAAAATCTTCAAAAAAATGTTTTTTTTTGGCAAAAGACTATGGGTTTAAGTTATTTTACAAGAAAATTGATTGTCCATTCTTAGTGACTCGGCAAACAAAGAAAAACAAGCAAGAAAGTTATATTCGGCCAGGGCCGAATCTCGCATATCCACCACTAAGCTTTTCGCATTCTACGCTCCAAAGTCGTTTATTTGATACCCATATCGCTGATATTGTTAAGAAGAAAGTAACTCGCCCGGTCGCGGCGTCTAACGTCATTTTAGAATTAACCCATTTTTCACATCTTCATTTCAGGAATGGACAAAATAGTTTCTGTCTCGCTTGCGTTATGATAAATAAACATAAAACTTCAAAGAATTGGAAAAAATAAGATTTAATCACTAGTAACTATGTGTGGGCATGGTCGCAAATATTATACGTAGGCCAAGCATTTCTGATTTATATATAAAATGGGAAGAACTTTATAAAAACTTTTTTTTTTGTGATTTATCACATAAGTCAAATGACGGAAAAGAATCTTGAATTAAGTCAATCCTAAACGAAAATTAAATTTTTAAATCTAGTTTCTTAAGATTATCTAAAATCCAAGCTCTTGAAAATAGAATTTCAAACCGTAGAAGTCTTATACTGAATCTTTCGAAATTTTTGTGGATCAGAAATGGGTTATGCTTCTGCATGTAAAATATAATTTGCTTGCATCGAAAAATCGA